GGGAGGTTGGGGGGGAGGGGTTTGCGGAGGCGGAGATCGGGATGAAGATTGCTTGTGGGTTTGAGATGATGTATCAGGAGAGGAAGAGGGCTGGGGAGGAAGGGAAAGGGGAGAGTTGGGAGGTTTTCTTGAAGAATTTGGAGAGTAGTGGGGTTTTCGATGGGCTTTTGCCGGGGTCGAAGGAGTATCTGAGGATAATGAAGAATGCGGAGGAGTATTACAAGAAGAGTTCTCTCTTCTCTCGGACAAGGTATTGGTTTTCCATATAGTTTTGGTTTAGACAGACATAAATAACATGGCAGGTATTTGATTATTAGATTCATTGTGGTCTTTCAGAATTTCAGAACATAATGAAACTTGGGAAGTTAAGATATTAAGGAGTGTTCTTGGAGATGCTTAACAAACGTCTATGCGACAGTTGCAAATAAAATTTTAAGCATGTAGTTTAAGCCTTTCTTCTCACACCTCACATGTTGATAGCTTACCCTCCAGTGGCTAATTTCCTTCTGTGAATCTTACAACTTCTAAGCCCTTCTCTAGACCATGAAGTACTGTGTATTAGAATTAGCTTAGAGCTGACATCTAACTTCACATCGTGCATTTGATTTTCATAATCATGCATACATAACAAAGTTATGTTGTTTCAAGCCTAATCCTTGTTTATGGCTCTACTCTTTTCTTGAATAGTGATCAGTTTCAAAATGGCATGGCAGCCATTGGGTCCTTAAAGTAGAAGCTTTTAGTTGTTTAGATTATGTAGTCTAACCAGTATTGGGAATCAATAGCAACTCCAATCGAGAAAGTTCTATTCGACTTTCCTATCCCCATCTGCCTTGTGCTCTATCTTTTTCAAGATATTTCGGATTTCTATCATAATTTCATAGAAGACGTCAATGCGAACATGCAACTTCTGCAAATCTTATGGTTTTCCCTGTGCAAGTGCAATTTATGTCGTCAACTAACTGTATTCTTGAGGGAAGAATAGTTTGTTATATAGTTGCAGCATCAAGTGGGTAGGATGTTGTTGGAGGAGACAATTATCCTTAAGTAAGGGGAAGAGAAGGATATCTGTTTTTTAAAGTCTAGAATAACCTTTTTCCTTTAGAGTCCATTATATTTATTTTGCTACGAACTGGTTACCTGTTAAAACATTCTGCTGCTGAAATATGAAGATTAAGAATTTGGAGTCCTCTGGTAGTGACAAACCTTATTGATGTTTGGTGATGTGAGGTAGTTAGTGCTACTTTCTATCACTAGGATATCATATATTATCTTTATTTAGCAGTTGAGGATGAGCACTGATTTTAGACAAGAAATCTCTTTTATCTGTGCATGAGATCCTTATTGCATGGTCACTATTAAGGGGAAATATGATATCATATTGTTTGAATTGTTCTCTGCATATGGAACAGGTTGAAGTTGAAAAAGTTCTTGTAAGATGAGAGTGTAATCAATTTGCGCAGCGGGAACAAAGCTAGAAACGTATAATCCTAATTTTTACTTAAGTGGAAAATTGTTACCTAGCAAGTTAACCATGGGCGTACAATCTTGAAGTCTTCTTGTATAACTTACGTTAGCAATTGCTTGTAGGAACTTTTCAAAGATGATAGTTTCAATTTTTTTGCTTTGAATCATCGCCACTGTCATCATCGCCATCATCACCATCAGCAGCAGTTTCTGACATTTGCTTTGGAAATATCCCTTTTTCTCCAAACTCCTCAGTATGCTCTATGTTGCATTTTTATACGATGTTTCCTCATGAATGTCTCAATGAGATATCTGAAAGGCCTTTTTCCCTAGTGAGGAACTAAAAGTTTTTTGTTGTTATTTTTGCTGATGGCTTGGTGCATTTATTTGTGGTATAGGGACGTGATGAATGCTCCTCTGAAACGAATTGATGACGTTCTTGCTTTACCATATTCCACCAGTGATTTCAATTGCAGTGATCTTCCTCCTTCGGATGACGATTCCTGGTTGTATGATGGGGAGGATGAATTGAATGCAGCCATTGCAGAGAGACAAAAGGAGATGGAACTTTATCAGCTTAAGCATAAGAACCGGAAATCAGGGAAGCAGGAGCTCAAAAATGATAATCTTAATATGCAGTCAGACGATTTCAATTTCAAGGATGTTGCTGAAAGTATGCAAGCGTTCATCCAGAAACTTTCGAGCTTTGAAGGCGCAGAGGTTCCTCAAAACAGGTACTTTTAAGCTACTTACATGTATTAAGTTATTTTAGATTGTTTTTTTGGGGTAAAGCTATTCTTTTTTCATCCACAAGGAAACATTGGCTTGTATAAAGTGCTGCCGCAATGTGCTGCTTATAAATTCAAGCTGGAGTGTACCAAATAATTAACAAATAGTTTGGTTATTATTTGTGCAACTATTCAATTACATTCGATTCGATAGTTCATTTAACATTAAATGAATAATTTTTAGTATTCAGTTAATAATTGTGTATAATATAATCAGCGCATATTTGATTTGATATATTCTTGAGTATTTTCTTTATGTTTTATATTTATTATAAATATAAACGTAGATTAGACACTTGTTTAAAATTTTTAGTTAGTTTTCATTGAGGTTTTAATTTTTATGAAAGAAGTAAATTAGAGAGCAAATAAACTTTTATCATACTTTGGAGAAGATTTATAAATATGTACCAATTAGAGGGTGTAATATGCAAAAGTCACCAAGGAAATTAAGGAAGAAATTTATTTGTGTACCCAAAGTTTGAACCAGGGACCATTGATTTATGAAGCAGAGGCCTGAACTAAGTGGGTTGCTGAATATTTGCAAATATTAAGGGAATAGAAAATGCATACACCAAATCAAATATAAACATCATTGTGGTATTTGACCTGAATTCGAATTCGAATAATTGAAATCCACTGAAATGTAAATTCAAATATCATGATATTCGATTCGATTCGGTTGTTTACTACCCCTGCTTATAAATAATAGCTTTGAATGATTGGCTGGGCGAAAACTCTCCAAACATGGAATGGATCACAAAAAATTAGAGAGGTGAAAAAAGTTGCAATACAAGTAGCAAATCCTTGAATATAACATGGATGCAATCCTTGAATATAACATGGATGCACTCACCCATTCTCGTATAACAAGGAAGTTCTATTCTTGGTTGTGGATCTTTCGTTTAGGAATTTTGGCCTTATTTTCTTAAAAGAAGATATTTGAGATTTGTGTGTAAGTGATGAAGCTGTGATGGAGGTTATTTGTCAAGATGGCCTTCATGAGAAAACTAGAAGCCTTTTGGTAGATTGAACACCATCTTAAACTCGATTAAAAGAGGAAAAGATGTGTGAGGATGTTTTCATCTCCATGCCGCAGAAGCCATATCTAACTAAATAGAGCGGCATGTTGTAACTTAAGATATACTGTACTAGTGTGTGTATTAACTTGGTTTTCACAATGAAAACTTTTAGGGGTTTTACATCAAAACCAACTTTACTTTTATCCGAATTGATACTTACCACCTCTGGCATGTTTGCAATGTCACACCAAATCCATTTTTCAACCAAAAATACGTGAAATGATCATTTTACCCTCACCAAATCTAGTTTTCACCCAAATTAATGTAGACCACCTTTACTTGCTAAGATGCTTGCAATGTCACACCAAATCCAGTTTTCAGCCAAAAATACGTGAAATGACCATTTTACTCTCACCATTTTTTGTTTTTTTTCATCTCCTTCCTCACAAACCCTAACCCTTACCCTAGCCTCCTAATCATCCTCTTCTCCCCGTCTTCCCTCCCCCAACTCCACCCTCTCTCTCATTCTCCCTCTTCCTCCCCGACCTCCCACTCCCATTCCTTCCCAAGTGGTAACTAGGATTAGGGTTACGATTTGGGAGAGGTGATGGCTGTGGGTTAGGGTTAGGGTTTTGGGGGAGGTGGTGGCTGTGGGTTAGGATTAGGGTTTTGGGGGAGGTGGCGGCCATGGGTTAGGGTTCGTAGAAGAGGAGGATGGAGGAGGCTACGGTTAGCGTTCGGGGTTGGAAAGAAGAAAATGTGGGCAAAATGATAATATCTGATTTTTTGTGGGTGAACAGTAACAAAAGGTGTGACATTGCGAACATGTTAGCAAATAAAACATAAAAAATATTAAATGTGGTAAGTATCAATTTGGGTAAAAATAAAGGTGGTTTTCATGTAAAAACCCAAACTTTTAAGCATACATTCGTGATTTGGCTGATAGTTAGACCTTGTTTTACTCATGCTTCTGAGTTGCCCATTCAGATCTTTTTCTTCCTGAATCAAATAGACAGTCTTTTGATTGCTTTAAAATTAAATTCTATAGCTTAACTCCTTTTTGTTATCTGTCCGAAAGGAACTTAAATGAAGTGGAACTTGATGTTAATCAATTTGTTAAAGATATGGAATCTGTGGTCGGGCCTATTTGGCATGAGAAGGCTGCTAATGATGCTAATAGTGAGGGTTCTACCTCAGCATCAGAGATGGATTTTGGTATGTTCTGCTTTAATTTTTTATGATTAATTTAGAATGTTCTGATTGACTTTATCCACCATTTTTAATGTCATTAAGCTTTGATTTGACTTTAGAATTTGCAATTCATATTAAGCACCCATCCTCTTTATTATGCGAGTGATGTTATTTCTGTTGATGTAGTATATTGCTCTAACTTGTCAGCTTGGGAAAAGTCTTGTTAGCGACAACAATTTATTTTTACCTTCATGTATTAGTAGAGTATTACTAATAGTGTTATCACTGAGTTATCACATGGTGATGTATTTGGTCCTTAATAAGTTGTTCACCTTGCATGACTGGTTTTCTATTGTATGATTCTGAAGTAGGGATCTTTTGGCTACTGGTCCTCCAAATCTCATCTATTTGGATACAAGTCCCCCAAATCATCATATTTGGATATAAGTCCCTTGGATTTTGTATATTTGGATAAAAGTCCCTCAAAACTACTAGGGTTTTACAACTCCGCCATGGTTAATTTCCATCCACTTAACCCAACAAAACTAATGGGGCTGTTAGTATTTAGATTCTAAATTGGAGGGATTTTAGGAAGTTTAGCAAGATAAAGTTTGTTTTAAATGGGTTCAAATACATTGGCCTTTTCACCTTTAATAGAAGATAGGTTGAAAACAATGAAAAATATTAAAAATAGGAAACTAACAACCCATTAGTTTAGTTTGAAAAATGGGTTAACGTGGATGACTTAACCATGGGGACTTGTTTCAAAGACTTACTAGTTTTGAGGGACTTTTATCCAAATATGATGATTTGAGGGACTTGTATCTGAAGAGATGAAATTTGGCTGACTTATGTCCAGGTAAGACGATTTAGAGTACTTGTCCAAATAGATAAGATTTGAGAGACCAATACCCCAAAACCCTTCAAGGATAAGATTATTTGTGAAGGATTTGTTCACTAAATTGCATTATTGGTAATCTTTTCCTTTGCTTATGTATGCTATACACGGATTTTACAGATGAATCAGAGGATGGAAGTGATATTGCTGAACCATGTGGGGGTGATGACAGTGGGGACGCATTTATGGAGTCCTATTCTGATGCTTTAAGTAAAGAGCTAAATGCAACTACACTTAAGAGAAGTTTCCTTCGTGCCTCTGAACAAACCAGCAATGATGAAGAGGTGAGCATCTTCGTTACTTTGTTCTATGAAACATATGTGGCATCTAGCTGTATCTTTATGCAAGTTCTTTTGCATGCTAAGTCTCACGAAGTCACAGATTGTTTTTTCTGTCTCCTGCAATGGGAACTGTATTCTGCTATCTTAGAGAATCAAACAATGTGTTTATAGGGATTGTTTTTTTTTAAAAAATTCTCCCCTATTTCCTTCTTCTTCTTCATCTACTTGAGATGTCTTCATCCTAAAAGCCTGTGAAACTTTACTGTTCATGAGATATGGCTCGCAAGCAAAAGTTGGACTCTTTGTTTCTCCTGGAATTATAGCTTACATAAATTAACTCAGTCCATTATATGTCTTGAAACCTGAACATTTCTGTTATTTCTAATGCCGGCGGAGGGTCCTGGAAAGAACATTCCATCTAGGTGTTTCAATCTACTGCTTTATGTACAATTCCCAATGTGTGAAAGCACATTTACTTAGGGACTGTTTGTTTGCCTAAAAAAAATTAAAAATCAAAGAAATGGAAAACTATTAAATCAAAGAATTGTTTTGGGAGTGTTTGGTTTGCTAAAAAAAGAAGGAAATCAAAGAAATGAAGATGACTTGTCACCTTATTATAGGATGATGTGAGTGATTTTTTAAGAAAACTTGTTTTGATGTTGTTTGGTTGGCGAAAAAAATAATAAAATAAATTATAAGAAACCTATTTCTTGTAATAGGTTGTTTTCTTTTGCTTGGTTATTTTTTAAAAATAAGAAAATATATGAGATGAGATGAGTTGTCATTATATTATTGGATGATGTGACCCACACTTAAGGAAATTGTTTTCCTAGCTTTTTGGGAGGAAAACAAAGAAATGAAATGTTAATGAGATGAGATGAGTTGTCACAATCTTATTGGATGATGTGAGTTATTTTTAAATATGAGATGAGATGAGTTGAGTGATGTTGTGGATGAAAATAATATTTTATTAGATGTGGTGGATGTGATGGATGAGTTGTTGGATGAAAATAATATTTTATTAGATATGATGGATGAGTTGTTGGATAAAAATAATATTTTATTAGATGTTGTGGGTGAGTTTTAGGGATGGAAATGTGTGAAATTGTACTTTTTGAGTTTTCTTGGTTTGCATTTCTATTTTTTGGTTTTTTAGGAAATAACCAAACAGCCCCTTAACCAATATCGGGACATCCATGAACTTCTCCAGAAGATTTTTATTGTTCTAACAGTTCACTAATAAAACATTTGATGTCTGCTTAATATGCACTCGTTAGTAGGATCGATGATGTCAATGTTATCTATGTATCTTAAATTTAGAATAGCCAGCTTAAATGTGAAATATTATCAAATGTATCAGCACTTATATTTGTCACCGTCGTGTTGTTCAGGGAACGTCAAAATCTACACAGGACATGGAGGAGGAGCTAACCCCTGTTGATGTAGATGTAAACCTTGTGAAGAGTTTACTCGATTCCTTTTCTTCTCAAGAAGGGCTTCCCGGCCCTGCTTCAAACTTGCTCGGACTTATGGGTTTGAATCTCCCAAGTGGCAAAAGTGATAAATAGTTCCTTCTTCATTTTGTGACCACATGTTTTTGACTATGGTAAGCTCATCTATTGTGACTTTTGACTTATGTTGGGCTTCTCCATTTGACATCAATGATTAGGTGACCTTTATCATCTTGACAAATAATTCAGATAAATACTTTTTATTCTTCTTTAAGCTCTATAAGCTTATGTTTATACTTCTTCATGTAATGGTAAGTAGCTTGTTGTCCAATAAGAGTCTCTATATGTGGGGTGGGGGCTTAGCTTTTCTCACTTCAAACCCTAATTTTCCCAAACTTACAAATTTCTCCTTTGGATCCGCCCAATTGACATTCTGGTCTTTCAGCCCTCAAAATGGGGCATAAAACATATCAAATATCAAATAGTTTGGTTTAAGAGCTTCACCCTTTATTTGTTTTGCATTGCATTGTTAGCAAGAGACAGTACAGTGTGTAGCAAAACTTAATTCAAAGAGGACATCTAATTGAAAAGGTTAAAACTTTAAAGTCTCAAGAGTATGTACATATGAAATCAAGAGATATCGAAGAGGTCGGGGAAAAAATACATCTTACAAAATGAACTCCAAATAGTTAATTCCTTACCCCATCTCACTGGCATTTTTAGGATGCTATCTGTATACCATGAGCATATTTTCTCAACGCTTTCTGACATGCTTATTGTATAGAAGCTCATGTACTACCTGTTTTTGTTGTACTTAATTACCATTGATTGGAGGAAAAGTTGATATTTCTTCTCCAAATGAGAGTTTCAATTTGTCGAATACTAAAATATACTTTTATTTGAGTTAGCATTTGAGAGTTTATAATTATAAGATTGATTTTTTTTAAATACCTTTTTGCTAAATAATTAGCAAAACCGATCATTTTGCTAATTATTTAGTAAAAACGACCTCTTTTTGGCCAACATGATGTCGTTTTTAACAAACTGCGTATTCGAAACATACGGGACTGCTAGTCCCGTATGTTTAGTCGCCATTAATTGGCGACTAATATGACACCATAAAACCTACGGGACTACTAGTCCCGTAGGTTTTGGTTGTGAACTTCAACACCTCCAGATGACACCCAACAAATCTACGAGACTAAATCTATGGGACTAGTAGTCTCGTAGATTTGCTGGGCTTGCATATCTCTTCACAAAAGAGAGATGCAAATCTACGAATGACACCCAACAAATCTACGGGACTAGTAGTCTCATAGATTTGTTGGGCTTGCATGTCTCTTCATAAAACGTACGGGGCTAGTAGTCTTGTACATTAAGCAGAAAGTTTTTTTCCTGACGCCCAACAAATCCATGGGACTAGTAGTCCCGTGGATTTGCTGGCAGCCTCTAAACATGGACAAAACATGCACATGCCCCTAATGCTTCATATACTGTATTTTTTGACCAAAAATTGTGCAAAAATATAGCACCCACTTCTTGTATCATGTCATCCAATTCTTGATCATTGGTGATCTCTACAATAATTGTTCTGTTTTCATTTATCGGACAATTACAGAAGACTTTAATGACATTTTCTACATGATTAATTCTAGTAACTCTATATATTTGCTCCATGTTGGTTTTATTTTTAAAATCATGGTTGGTTACAAAGTGCTCCAATAACTTCCCATCATCAAGAGAGTTGGTTATAACTTATCCAACCACTTTTGCCCTCTAATTCGGTTATTGCTCTTTGATGGAGAGAGCAGAAAAAGTATATATATCTCGATTGATCCCTAATACCTGCTCTTCAATTTTGAAATGAAAATACACCATCTATCAGTGAAGAGATAAGGTTTAGAATATCTTATCGAAATAAACATCCATTATCCTTGTGTAAGACAACGATGGCTGGAGGTTAGTTTAATCGATTTTGCTTCCGTTTTTTATATAGATTATATCTTTTAGTTTCTAAACATGCTTAGATCAAGTATTTGAATTTCTATCATGTTTAGATAACTTCAGTAATTTAATTTTTTTAACATTTGGTATCAGAGCCAGCAAGTTTTGGCCTCTGCCTTGTTGTCGTAATGGATTTTGGTTTTATTTTTAGATTTAACATTTCTGTTACAAAAGGATAAATACAAAAGAAATTCTATTACGTTAAACCTTAACACCTATGTTTGATCTTGATTTCTTTATTTTATTAATGAAGTTTGATTGTGCTGTAACAAATTCAAAATAACACGATGACCAACTTAATTCAGCCCAATAAAGAGTTTAATTAAGGCCCAACCTAACACTTTGTTTGGGATGTTCTTAAACCATTCATTTATGGATGTGTTTAAAATCATGTTGCCTCCATTACATATTTGATAATTTCTGATTGATGTTTATATTTGTGCATGTTAGATCTATTATGTTTTATCAAGTGATGTTTCTGTGAATATAATTTAATAAATGTTTAATTAACCCATATAGTTTAATTAATTTGGGAGTAGCCACAACATCCTTAATTAATTAAAACTATATAATAAGGTTTTTTATTTCATTTGTTAAGGATCTTATTTAGAAAGTAAACATTAATTGTGATTAATAGGATGCGATATAATAAATTTTATCCCACAAGAATTTTTATTATATTTGTATGATTAGTTAGGATAAAATGTCAAATTATATTTTCTAATTTACCTACAGGGATTAGGAAATGAAACATAATTTGATAGTTTTATCATAAAGTTAAGATAAATCTAATTGAATTGGAACTTTAGCCCATAGGCAAGTTTTATGTCACTAGATTTATATATTTGCATGATTTTACATTGGTAGAACATGTCATATTTTGTCAAGTTTTATGTCACTAGATTTATATATTTGCATGATTTTACATTGGTAGAACATGTCATATTTTGTTAGCTTCAAATTTAGTAACATGAGGGTAGAACATGTCATATTTTGTTAGCTTCAAATTTAGTAACATGAGCATGATTATTTAATTTATTACAGTAATTCCACCTACTAATTACTCTGATATGAAATGTGATGTTCCCGAGCTCAAAGGGGACAACTACAAGTGTGGAAGGAGAGAGTTCTCCTTCATTTGGGATGGATGGACATAGACTATGCCATAAGGAAGATTGAACCCCCTACAGTTACTGAAATCAGCACTTCAGATGAAATTCAGTTTTATGAAAAATGGGAACGATCCAATCGTCTCTGTGTGATGTTCATAAAGACTAAAATTTCTGCTGGTATAAGGGGTTCGGTCGAGCAGGTCGACAAGGTCCAAGATTTACTTAAGGCTATCGATGAGCAGTTCGCCACTTCAGACAAGGCAATGACGAGCACCCTGATCATACAATTTTCATCCTTGAGGCTCACCGGCGTAAGGGGTGTGCGTGATCATATCATGCGCATAAGGGATATTGCGGCTTAGTTGAAAGTATTGGACGTTGAGATGTCTGAAACCTTCTTGGTTCACTACATCCTTTGCACCTTACCTCAACAATATGGCCCATTTAAGATATCCTACAACACACATAAGGACAAATGGTCAATCAATGAATTGTTGACCATATGTGTTTAGGAAGAGGGCAGGCTGCTTATGGAGGAAAAGGAAAAGAAAATTGTGAACTTTACTACCCCTGAGAAGTACAAGAAGAAGGATCAAGCCAAGGACAAAGGGAAGGGGAAGGGGAAAATCCCTCCTCAAAAGGATATTAAGAAAGAGATTGTGTGGTTCTTTTGCAAGAAGAAGGGGCACGTTAAGAAACAATGCTCCAAGTTCATGAAGTGGCTTGATAAGAAAGGTACTCAACTTTCTTTTATTTATTATGAATCCAATATGATTGATGTTAATCATAACACATGGTGGATTGATTCTGGTTCTACAATCCATGTCACCAATTCATTGCAGGATTTACAAAACCTGCGGAAGCTAATGGGAAGTGAGCACAGCGTCTATTCAGGAAATAAGATGCCCTCGCATGTGGAGGCCATTGGCACGTGCAGACTGGTTTTAAGTAGTGGTTTTATTTTAAGTTTAGAAAAGACGTTTTATATTCCTAGTTTTTCTAGGAATTTAATTTCAGTTTCCAGACTTGTATCAGATGGTTATTCCTTTAACTTTTCAGATTCGGATTTAGTTTGATTTATAAATCTGATGTTATTAGATGTGGTACTTTGTCTGATGGTCTTTTTCTCCTTAATTTGCAAATGATGAAAACCATACTTCTATGCACGTTCATGAAATTATTGGTACTAAACGATGTGTTGTGAATGAAGAGTCTTCTATACTGTGGTATCGGAGATTGGGACATACCTCCATTGATAGAATTAAAAGGTTAGTGAATGATGGGGTACTTGGTACTTTGGATTTTCCTGACTTTGAGGTTTGTATAAGCTGCATTAAGGGTAAGCAGACTAGCAAGTCCAAGAAAGATGCCAAAAGAAGTTCTGAATTATTGGAAATCATACACACAGACATTTGTTGTCCAGGCATGGATGTATACTGTGATAAGTACTTCATCTCTTTCATAGATGATTACTCGCGATACATGTATCTCTACTTGCTTAACAGTAAGAATGAAGCACTAGATGTTTTTAAGGTGTTTAAAGTAGAAGTAGAGAAACAATATGACAAACAAACTAAGATCGTGAGATCCGATAGAGGTGAAGAGTACTATGGTAGATACACTGAGAGTGGTCATGCAAATGGTCCATTTGTGAGGTTTCTTCGAGAAAATGGGATTGGTGCCCAATATTCTTTGTCTGGCTCTCCGGACCAAAATGGTGTAGCTGAAAGAAGAAACCGAATATTATTGGACATGATGCGTAGTATGCTTGCTAGCTCCAAACTTCCTAAATCCTTGTGGACTGAAGCTCTTAAGACGGCTGTGTACATATATTAAACCGAGTTCCAACCAATGTTATCCCAAAGACTCCTTTTGAGTTATTCAAAGGTTGGAAACCAAGTTTGCAACATGTACGCGTTTGAGGATGTCTGTCCGAAGTAAGAGTCTACAATCCATAAGAAAAGAAGTTGGACCCAAGGACCATAAGTGGGTATTTCATTGGATATGCCGAAAGGTCTAAGGGATACAGATGTTATTGT